CCCGCGTTGCCGGGGGCGCTTAAGTGCTTTGGTCTTTTTTTTATTTTTGGGGGGGATGGGGTTTTGGGTTCCAAAAGTTCGGTTTTTGGGGGGGGGGGGGGTTGTTTTTTTGTTTTTTGTTTTCCAGGCAAGTTGCTGCTTGAGTTCTTAGAACAGTGTTTTTCAAGCTTGGCAACTTTCAGATGGATGGACTTAACTCCCAGAATTCCCCAGCCATGCTGGCTGGGGAATTCTGGTAGTTGAAGTCCACCCATCTTGAAGTTACCAAGTTTAGAAAACACTGTCTTAAATAGATCAGACCAGTGTTTCTCAACCTCATCAACTTCAAGATGGTTGGACTTCAATTCCCAGAATTCCCCCATCCAGCAATTCTGGGAGTTGAAGTCCACCTATCTAAAAATGGATGAGGTTGAGAAACGCCGGACAAGACCAATGACTGGACCAAGTGTGATAGCATTTAGATTGTTCAGCTGAGCCTGGGAAGACCAAACCTCCATCCATGCTGAAGTTCAAAACTTGAGTTCATCAAAATTTATTTCAAAGATAAAGGAGGAAATTGTGTAGCCTGATTTGAACTTTGGCAAAATGGTAAGTAACCTTACCAATGAAATGAACTCCAGAAAGTCATGAAGTGTTTGATTCCCAAGGCAGTAGGGCCCACAATCTTATCTCCCTCTGCCTTTAAATTATGCATGCATCAGTTCCTCCTCTGCCTGATGTGGTGTCTTTTCCATCCCTTACTCCTGGCAGGAGAATTTGGAGAGGTGTGCTTTGGCCGCCTGAAACCTCCAGGGAAGCGTGAATATACAGTGGCTATTAAGACCTTGAAGGCAGGCTACACTGATGAGCAGCGGCGGGAGTTCCTAAGCGAGGCCAGCATTATGGGACAATTTGAGCATCCAAATGTCATCCGCCTGGAAGGTGTGGTCACCAAGAGCCGCCCCGTCATGATTGTCACCGAGTTCATGGAGAATGGTTCTCTGGATTCCTTCCTCCGGGTATGACCATCTCAGTTCCCCCTTTCCTTGCCCGCTTCACTTCCTCCCTTTCATTTTACATTTACTGTATTTAATATTATTTATTTAGTTACTTTTCAGCATTTGTAAGGAATGTATCATTAAAATTATGCCCATGCAGTATACAAAACAGAATAACATAAAATAGAAGACGTAGGGAAATGATTTCAATACAGTAATATGCCAGCATGCATCTCTATAATAAATTTTGATAAAACAATAACACTTCCTATATGGGGGAAGAGGGAGGCCTGAGCAAAGAAGTCTGCCTTTAACAGACATTGCAAACAAAGCACAGGGGGACCTTTCAGAAGTCAGGGGCTAGAACATTTCTCAGTTACTATCATGTAGCAAGCTACAGAATATGGTGCCACCAGTAAGAATTTTACAATTGGAAGTCAGTGACGCTAACAAGAGATAATTGCTGGTGGGGGAAAGAAGAGAAAATCAAGCAGACCAATAAAAGGGAAAAATAGTCTTTCAGTAACTTAGACCCAAGTTTTATCTGCCATAAAATTTGAAGATGATCATTTAACTTCCCTCAAGATAAGGTCTCTGGTGGTTTGACAAAGAGATCAAGACTAGAGATGGCTCCCTTATAGCACAGCATGCACTATTCTACAGTTTTTGGACAATGGTCAGAGAACCTCCTTTATTTTCTGCCTCCTTTACTTTCCCTTTCCCTTTCTTAGATTTAGAAGGCCACCTGGCTCCATAATGACTTTGGGCAGCTTCCAACACTAAAAATGGCAGATGGGGGTTATGGGTACTAATAATGCTGTGCTAAATGTACTTTTCACCATATGGAATAAGGTACATTCTAGAACAGAAACATCTGGCCAAAAAAACTTAAGCCTGAATAGTAGTAAGAATAACAAAGGGTAGGAAGAAAAAGGCTAGGGTTATGGGGAAAGAATATAAACAAATGCTTTTATACATAGCCAGTGGATGAGAATGAAGGGGTCCGATGATGGAAAAGGTGGATTTTGAAAATAGTGGGAGCTGAGACCACAGGTAGAACAGAAAGTTAGAGATAATGGAAAATTTACAAAGGTATGAGAATTTGGGGTGAATCAGAGTTGTGGAATGGAAGAAACAAAGGTCACAGACATGGAATACCTAGGAACTTGAGCAAAGCTGTCACATGGGGTAGAAGAAGTGAATGACTTGCATTGTGGAGTTTTGTTTGGAAACCAGAAAAGTAAAATTGAGGAAAGGAAGGTCAGGAAAAAGCTACAATGCTTAAGGCAAGAGTTGATCAGAATAGGAAACATTTTTCTCTGGGGTGTTGAATAGAAGGGGTTGGTTTTCATGAAGCTGTACAAGAGAAAAAATATATTTTGTTAATGGAGTGAAAATAAATGTTCTCTGTGTATACACATACACACACTCTCTCTAAACACATACTCTCTGTGTGAGTGTATATATGTACACCCACACATACTCATGTACACATCCACACACCCTACCTACAGAAAGCTAGCCTATCAGGGCTCTTGAAAGATTCTAATGTAGCCTTCTTCTGGCAGAGCTCTTCCACAAAGGAGCATTCAGTCCTGGTTTCATGCACTCCCCTTCCTAATCTGAAGTAGTTCATTCCTGAAAGATGTCATATGGCCTGCATTTTCATCAGATCAGTCCTTGTGGCCAGGCATTTCTCAAGGGGAGCATGAAATAGGGCGATTGGCTTTGTTTTCAATAGACTTTTTATTGACTGGGATTTTTTTCTTTGAAGTGTTTTATGGCAGTGAGTGGGCCTCATCCAAGCAATCAGGAGAAAACCCTTGGAGGGCTTCCTTATGGATCACCTAAGACTTGGTTTCTGTGCCAGGCTTATTGACAGACAAGGCTGCTTAAGCATCCCAGGTGGGAGTTAGGGGTGCCGATGGGACACGTTTGCTGTTGTGGGCATTACAGTTGGGGAAAAAAGAGTTATGGATATGCTGGGGGAGGGGTTGGGGGAGTCAGAGGCATAGAAAGGAGTTCAGCAAACTAGAGGGAAGAGTGTGGGATTGTTTTTAAATCATTATCCTTCTTTCTGATCGGCAGCTACCCCCACCACCCAGTATCATTCAACGGAAGGTTGAATGTGGGACTCGATGATGATGATGATGATGATGATGATGATATAGTAAATCTGTATGCCACCCAACTCTCAACGACTATGGGCGGCTTACAACAATTAAACAAAGAAATTGCAATGAAAAGCATAAAACATAAAACATACAAAGTAGGTGTCAGGTTCAGCCCAAGAATCACCACGAGACAGTCCAGAATTCAGCTCAGCTTCTTTATTAGCTTGCACCTAATAGACAGAATCTTGCCAGATTAACTCTAATCCCCCAACGATAGCAACTACGTATAACCATCATACCCTTGGGGGTGGCAGTCTCCTCCTCTTGACGTTCACACAGTCCATCTGGGGGCTGAGGAGATGTGTTCCTTGGAATGTCTCTCCCCCTTCCCTGTAACCTTGAAGCTCCATTCCAGAATCCTCCCTGCTCATGTCTTCCATCAAACTAGGTCCTGTACTATTTTAATTTTAACAAGAGTTGCCGTTTTTCTTCCCTGGAAGGGCTGAGAAAAGAAGCAGGAAATATCAGCTGAGGGAGTGGGATTTAGTCACAAACCAAGAGATATTTCTCAATCAATCAATCAATCAATAGCTATAATTGAACAAAGGGGACCTGTTTTTATGCAAAAGGAGCAGAGCAACAGTGTCTTCTAGGCTGTTGTGGGTGTGTATGAAAATAGGAGTTCATAGGTTGATAACAGTTGCATGATATACTCAAGTGAATGGTGATAATGGAAGAATCAGAGATTGATTTTGGAGAAAAAGGTTCAATATGCTGAATGAATATGATAAAGGGGAAAATTACAGTGTAGGGAACATAAATGGATGGTGAAAACAAGACAAAAAGTACAGAAAAGTGGCTGGGCTCTTCAGAGATTCAAGAATAAATTAAAATGGTGATGGGTGAGAATCTGCAGAAATATATAATAATAAAAGTTTTGTTTATTTTGAATATGTGTTTAAGCATATCTCCACTCATGCGTGCATATGACAACAGAATTAATACGAATCTGAAATAATAATAATTATTATTATTATTATTATTATTATTTATTAAATTTATATGCCACCCAACTCCCAGCAACTCTGGGTGGTTTGCACTTGTTAAAAACACTTTGATGGTTTATGATAAAAGGTTGAGAGAATTGGTGAAAGATACAAGGGAAAGGTGAAGTTCTGAATGTGGGACAGGTCATTTTTTTGGTAGCATCAAGAGAGGATCTAGGGAGGGAAACGGACTTAGAAGAATAGATAAAAAATGAGAGTGAAACTAGAATGACTGCAGGATGAGAAAATACGAAAGTATGAAAAAAGATTAATCTCCCAACAGAATGAATAGAAAGTGAACATCAGGGAAAAGGATGTGAAAGTTGTTTGGAACAGACAGAAAAGAATTACAGTAAAAAGTGCTACAGATGTGCACAAAATTATTCTCATGGGAAGCATGAAGGATGCTCGGAATGCAGAAGTGAAAGGGGAGAGGAATAAAAAAGTGCACATATAGGAATGGGAATTTATGGAAATAACAGTTATGTGTCAAGAGTGGAATTGAAATGAATACTATAAATATGGGTGTCCAATTTAAAATGAATAATGAAAAGAAAGTTTTAAGAACACTGCAGGAATGCTGAAAAATGGCAAGGCTACGATTGTAAATGGTTTACTTGGAGAAAGGTTAAAATCGAGATGTGATTTGCTTATGAAGTGGCTGGGCGATTTGTTTAACGCACATGTGATGGCTGTATCTGTGCCTGACGTTTGGAAGAGTGCTGGTATTAATCCCCTATACAAAGGGAAGGGAAGCAAGAGTGAGTGTACAAATTAGACTGGATTGATTTGTTAAGTGTGCCTGGGAAGGGGTTGGGCAGAATTCTAATGAAGGGCTAAGAGAGGTAACAATGAGCAAAATTTGGGAAATTTGCAGCTTTAGGTTTGGAAGAGAGAGCGCAGACCAGATACTCACTCTTCAGCAGGTCACTGAAAAATGTATGGATGTGAAAATGTTTATTGTATATTTGATAATTTAGAGAAATGATAAAAGAAATAGAATTTTGGGGCATTTGTGTGAGGATGGAGTTGAAGGTTGGTTGCTGAGTATAATAAGGGCAGTAAATAATGAAAACAAAATATGGGTGAGAATAAATGGGATGCTTAGCAAATGGTTCAGCATTAAGCAGGGAATAAAACAAAAGATGTATCATGTGTCATCTTTGCATAATGTATTTATGGCTACACGTACAATGAATGTGTATGGTGGCATTAGAGATGTGTTGGTTGGGGATGTAAATACATGCATGCTATGTTATGTTTATGCTATGGTATGATAAGATAACATTATTTGCTGTAAACGTTAAGAGTCTATCCTTGTGATATCGCGTATTGCAAACCAAGGTAATTGTGTTCGACAAGGAAAAATAGAGTGAACTCTTTTAGAATATATTTTAGGTTTAACATAGCAAAAAATTAGAGCAAGCAGATGAATTTCTGTACGGTAAATATTGTTTAGTATAATACTTACTAAAAGAGGAAAATGGAAGGTGAAGACATGGTAGAAAGATGGTGGGTAGTATATATTGGAAGGAACGTTCCTTCCCAAAAGTAAAAACGGCTCTGTATATAAGTGTGCTTTGTTATATGAAAGTAGTAATGTCAGGAAAAAATAAAGGTAACTTGAATGCAGTGGGAAAGTAGTTAGGGTCTAGAATGAACAGGAGCTGAAATGCAAGTGGATTGAATATAAAAGCAAGTGACAGGTATGAAGGAAGTGTGTTGAGGTGGAGGGATCATATACAGAGAATGAATGAGGATCAAACTGAAAAAGAAAAAAAGGAAGGAAGAGAGAATGGGTGAAGAGGAAGACCAAGAAGTCATGCCTGGATGGAGTACTGAGATCACCCCAAAGAAAGAG